TCATACAATATGTGGTCTTTTGTGACTGGCTTTTTTCACACAGCACATTTTCCAGTTTCAGCCAGGTTGTAACATTAGTATTTTCTTTTTATTGCTGAATAATATTTTATTGTATGGATATACCATCTGTTATTTATCCATCTGTTTGGTTTTTGTATTTGTTTTTTTCCTACTCTTGGTTTTCTATTTACGACCCTATTTTGGGAAAGAGAGATTAGGAATTCTATCCCCTTTCACATGAGGGATTTGGTTCATAGGCTTTTGGTTTCCCTGTACTTAGCATTGCGGACACCAGGTTTTCTCTTTAGTTTTGTGATAACAGAAGCTTCCACTTGGCCCATGACCAGAGCAGGTCCCCAGAGAGTGATATTACCTTCAGGGCTTGCCCGGAAGCATCAAGATTTTCAGGGTATTTACATCTGTTTTCCAAATTCAGCTTCATACATCTGTGTAATTACTATTTCAGGCAGTGTTCTTTAATTACTCCAGTTTATTTCAAAGAACAAAGAACATGCTACATAATTTTTGTAATGGTGTTAGCTTTATGGATTCCATATTGGCCAAGCACAATTTTGAATAAACACAGATGCTTAACCCTTTGAAATCCCTGTGATTGATGATTTTGTTTAAAGTACTGGTTCTCAACTGTGAGCCATTTTGCTCCCCAGAGGATATGTGGCAATATTTGGAGCTATGTATTCTGTTGTCCTGATGGGAGCAAGCAGGTGAGCTACTGCATTTCCATGGAGAGAGAACAGGGATCATGCACAGGCAGGCGCCACCCACCCCACACCAGTGTGGCCCAAATGTTCATTGCACCATAGTTGAGACGCCCTGGTTTCCTTCATCCGTTGAGTAGAAGAGACACAACTGTAGGCAGTATGCAAAAAGTAAAAACTTCACCTTCAACAGTATGGGGAAGCAACTGCTTGTATTAATGAGTGTGTGTGTTCATTAAAGAAAGGACGGACTTTGTATTTTTATTTTTAAAATTTCCTTCGGCACCTTTGGTAATTCCTTATTCCTACTTCAAATAAAAAAGATTATGTATTTTTGTTATTTAATTTTAAGCTGTTAATTGTAACCTAGAGTTTTGCTGTTTTGGGTACTTCCACCTTTTGCAGGTCCTGTGTTTTGTTGTTATGTCTTTTTGGAAGAAATTAAGAGATTTGTCAGAGTCCACCCATCTGAGTTCTTTCAGTTTTCCCCCAAAGCGACACAGGGAGTTGAGAAAGTGCTACTTACTGTAAGCGGAAACCCACTTCCGACTCAGGGGCATTCATTCTGTGCTTCTGTTTTGACACCACAAAGGCCACTCTGAATTTGGCTAGCGCATTCCATCTTGGTTGTGGAGGTACTTTCAGTAAGACGCGTGTTCTGGGAATGCGTATATAAACTCAGGCTTGGTTGAGTTTACATAGTCCTTAACCCTAAATGTGGAGAGCCATTGGAGGGCGCACACAGCCATTTGCTTACGAGGTTGGGTTTTGTCAGGCGGAAGAACTTCACAGTCCATTTATTTTTACATGGAAGAAGGATTCTCGCCAGCACAGCAGTTTCAGATAAAACCCAGTCTTCCCTCTTCGAGGGTTTACAGACCTGCTGACCCCGCTTTTCAGTGATTCTCGGGCGTAGTTGCTGTATTCCCTGCCGCAGGGTGCTGGTTAGGGGAAGGACTGCTGCTCATCCAGTGAGTACAAGTATTAGAGTGACATTTCCCTTGCCAGAGCGAAAGTCATTACGTTTTCTTTCCCAGGATGTGGGAGAAAACTGCTTTCTTTCTTGGGAGGAGAGGGCAAAGTGAGTGTTGTTTCTAAATCTGTCTGTTCAAATTATCAGCATGGATGCATGCGGGGAAAGGTGGTACCTATGAAGAGCTAATGACCGTGGCAGCACGGTTATAACCTGAGCAGCAGGTAGGAATCAGTCAGATGCGGTTCACCTTTAGAAGAACTGCCTTAGAACCTTTCATTGGCTGTGTGTTCGTGTGCAGATCGTATCTTCTTAGTTTTCCTTCTGTGGTCTGTAAAGTGGGCATGGTGACTTCTGTTTGGGTCAGTTTATTGACTTGTTGAGAGAAAGGATTAAATGGGATTATGGTAGGGATCTGTAAACTCCTAGTTGTTACAAAGATGCTGTTGTATTGTCTACTTTGTAGATAATTTCTAGTAAATTGAGGTGACATCTGCCTTTCTCAGTGCCATCTGGTTCCTCTCTGGGTCCCTTTATCAAATGTCACATTAATATTGTATGTTGGTCATTGTATAATGAGGCTCAGAAAAAATTACAATGCTATAAGAAAGGCAGAGGGAAAATATTTATATCCTCACCAAGCTATATATTAGAGTCAAATATAAATGGTAATTAGATTCACTTTTGCTTTGGAATATCACTGTTCTTAGTTATCTGAAAGTTGGGGAGACACATTTTGTTGACACCTCTATTGTTTATTAAATTTTTCTTTCTAACTCACTCTTGGCAGAAACGACTCTGATTTCTTTGTAAATAGAAACAAAATATATGATTTTGTAGGGAGTACTGTTGAGTACAAATTTGGATTTATTTCTTTTTGAGTGCTAAAATAACATTTTTACAAAATTTTCTGGAGCAGTTATCTTATTTACCTTAGGAAGAGTGATCTTTTTCTTAAATTTATCAGAAGTCTGTGTTGCATCCAAGAGGTTTTCAGCCTAAGCTTGCTCTTTTTGGACTGCTGGTCGACCTGGGTACCTTTTCAATGTCAGAGGAATGTTTTAACAACGGCATCAGCTCAGAGTTTTCTTTCTTGAATGATTGGCTTGTCCATGCTCTGAACTTAAGCCTGATAGAGAAAATAATATGTTTCTGTATTTTCAGTTGCTATCACCAGTGGTTTACAGGGATTTGGGAGTTTATTACTGTCTGTTTAACAGATGATTTATCTAGGCAGAAGTTTTGCAGGCCTTAGAATAATTTTTCTTGAAATATATTTAAAAATTTGAAATACTATCTGAAAGCATATTTCCAATGGAGAAGGAAGTATTCTTGGTTTGTGCTACATGTTTCATCTTTCTGACTTTGGTCATAGAATGTCAGCGTTATTGCTTCATTAGTCTATCTCCCAAAGATGGTTCTTTTTTTTTTTAATATATTTTATTGATTTTTTACAGAGAAGAAGGGAGAGAGATCGAGAGTTAGAAACATCGATGAGAGAGAAACATCGATCAGCTGCCTCCTGCACATCTCCCACTGGGGATGTGCCCGCAACCCAGGCACATGCCCTTGACCGGAATCGAACCGGGGACCCCCCAGTCCGCAGGCCGACGCTCCATCCACTGAGCCAAACCGGCTTCGGCCCAAAGATGGTTCTTAACATATTTTATTTTCCTGAATGCCAAGGGGTATTTGAAGTGCTTTTAAAGTGATTTTTTTTCTGGTATTAGGCTAAATACCTGATAAAAGTATATGATAACTTGGAAAAAGTATATGATAATTTTTATGATTTTGACATGACCAATGAGAATTTTCTCTGCTTCTGAGCATATAATTACAAATGGCTTTGTTTGTTGTTGTCAAAGTAAAGAGGACCAATCTTTTGTTTGCATATGTTTTTTATCTCACCCTAATAACATTAGAAACAGATGGTTCTCATGTTGATCAGTTGTCTCCTTTTTTTTTTTTTTTTCCCCCAATAGAGCATTGAAGACAAGGATTCTGAGTTTTCCCCTCATTGTATCTTTAGTTCCTAACACCTGGCACATAGATAATGTTTGGTACAGGTTGTTGAACACATTAGATAAGATATTGGGGAAGATGATAAAAAATTATAAAAGATAAATTACTAATTATTATGTCTGTTCCAAACTGATTTGTAAGCAAAACATTTTTTTCCCTCCTATGAAATTTTTATTAGAATTGTATTGGGTTGAAGTTTGGTATTCACTCTTCTCATTTTAAATCCTTAACTTCATACTTTTCTTGTTGGGTTGAGTTCTAATTTATTAGGGAAGCTATTAATAGTGGAAATTTAGACGAATGTAATAGCCATCTAATAGTCCCTAATGATAGAAGGTTATTTTTGGGAGCTGTTGTGTTTGGTGAAGGCAGAGATAATATATCTTTAGAGAAACCATTTTTCTTGGGAAATAACTAGAATAGTAGACTTAGAAGATGTGAACAGTTGTAATAGAAGGCAAAGGGATCTTGTTTTGAAGTTGTCATTTTATTTGAGTCAACTCTTATGTTTATTGTTGGAAGGCACTCTGGAAATCTTATGGTTATTGTTGGGAGGAAATCTGGAAATTTGGAGAAGTGGATAGAAAGTCATCAGAAGTTTGTAACACTTTGGACATTTTCTAAGGCTATCCAAATTTTGCTTTTTTGGGTGGAAATAATTTTTACTATAGGTTCTTTACCTTTTAAATTAACTTTATGGCTATGAAGTGCCTTTTATATAATAGTACCCATTATATGTTGTCTATTAAGGTACACTTTTTCCTTAAAAAGGAGAAACAATTGGTATCTAGAAAGTATAGTTCATCTTATACATTCAGACATTTTTCATTATTGCTGTTGTAGAAAGTATCAAACCATATACTAGCTGAGACTGAGGCCAAAACTATATATAATTAAAAACTTTTATCACTTGTACTCCCCCCCACCCCACCCCCCACATGGCTCAAGAGAAGTTTTTAGGGCTAAAATATGAGTAAGAGATTTATTAAACAAGACATTTCAGGGAGCCCTAGCTGGTTTGCCTCAGTGGATAGAGCATCCGCCTGCGGACTGATTGGTCACAGGTTCGATTCCAGTCAAGGGCACATGCCTGGGTTGTGGGCTAGATCCCCAGTAGGGGGCGTGCAGGAGGCAGCCGATCAGTGATTCTCATATTGATGTTTCTATCTCTCTCCCTCTCCTTTCCTCACTGAAATAAATAAATATATGTTTTTTAAAAAAACATTTCAGGGAAAAATATGAGGAAGTGATAAAGTAAAATCAATTTCTCTCTTTTTTTCTCCTAGCAGTTTTGAAACGTTGGGGTTGTTGGAGTGGTTGGATTTTCCCTGGAATTGAGTGAGAAATTCAGAAGACTGAAGCCCAGGCTCACTGTCTACCTTTCACGGAGGCCCAGCCGTGAGAGGACAGAAGAAGGCACGTGGCGAATCATGACAGCTGACAAAGACAAAGACAAAGACAAAGAGAAGGACCGGGACCGAGATCGGGACCGAGAGAGAGAGAAAAGGGACAAAGTGAGAGAGAGTGAGAACTCCCGGCCACGCAGGAGCTGTACCTTGGAAGGAGGAGCCAAAAATTATGCCGAGAGTGATCACAGCGAAGATGAGGACAATGACAACAACAGTGCCACCACAGAGGAGTCCACGAAGAAGAACAAAAAGAAGCCACCGAAAAAAAAATCTCGCTATGAAAGGACAGACACTGGCGAGATAACCTCTTACATCACTGAGGACGATGTTGTTTACAGACCAGGAGGTGAGGAGCATTACATGGGGGTCTTACGTGTGTGTGGAGGGGAAATGGCATCCGCTGTCAGGTGTCCTTTCACCTGGTAAAGCGGGCCTGGAGCCCAGAAGGGTCCGTGGTAGTTTGGGTGGACACACTGCCGGTGGGAAGCACGCTGGCTCACTGTGGCCGGTTGGATGTGCTGGCTCTTGCCTCTGGCTGTGTCTGCCTCCGCACGGGCTTCTCTCCTGGGGTGTGCGCTTGGCAGCTCTCTCTTGTTTGCTCATGTTGCTGCTTCTCTCCCTTCCCATCTGCTCAGTGGTGTTCATCTTCTGACTTCTACACACAAATTAGGGTACAGTGGCTCTGGTGGGACAAATAAACCTTAAGATTCTTGGAAACAGGAAATTTTACATTGGCCACGGCAGTGACCAGAAGCTAGGGAGGTATTTTTAATGGCCTTTGATCAAGGGTTATTTCTTCCGATAACCTTTTCTGAAGAACTGAGCTTCCGGTTCTCTAATCAGTGATAATAGCTGCAGCCAAGTAACCTGCTTTCCTGGAAAAGCTCACATCGCACCTTCTGCAGAAGGATAATAGTCCTTCCTGCTTGATGTTTAGAAGAGGGCTGTTGCTGAGGCCTTACCTACATGGTGTCTGGGAAGAACTGAGCACCCTTGTGAAATGTGAAGAAAAAAAAAGATCTCTTTGGACTAAATATGTTGTTATAAAGGACAATATATTATGTTCATTAGGTGTACTGAGGTTTATAGCATTGTTCAGAGAAGAGACAGACTTAGGTTTCAGATGAGAGGCAGAGAAACAAGTGATTCAGAACCTGTTGGGCACCAGCAAAACTCTCTCTTTTCCATTTGATATATTGTGTGTATTAAGATACTTTTCTTACAGAAGTCAATAAAACTAGCTAAAAATCATTTTGTTTGAATTACTTACAGTGCTGAGAAACGACATGAATTTCATATGAGCTGTAATGAACAGATGAAAGGCCTCCCAGTTTGAAGCTTTTCCAGGAAAGGGAGATTATAAGGAGATTATTGTGTCATTACTGAGGTGTAAGTGTTTTGAACCTCACATAAAGTACCATATTCTCCCTCAACCTCCCATATAGGAATTAGTTTTGAATTTCAAAAGAATCAATATTAGAACTTAAACAGATAAGCTTGTATTCACAATTACAATTTCTTGGTTGATGATTAACCTAGAAGAAAGATACTTACGTAATATAAAATTACCAAAGTTCAGTTTGTAGAGAGATTAGAGCTCTGGTGTAGAGATAATAACGTGTAGGTTCTGTACTATCAGTGTCTTTGATTTAGACTTAGATATTGGACAGTAAGAATTTCTTAGCCACTGAAGACTGTCTCTTTATAGAGTTACCACAAAATGCTTGCTATTTAGTTCTAGATCATGAGAAATGAACAGAATGTGTTAACTCCTTTAGATATAGATTATAGTATGCTAACTTAAAGTAAGAACTTACTTGTTATCCTTTTCTCTTGCTGCATAATAATTCAATGTGGTAATGCAATCATTTGGATCACTGGCTTGTGCGGTGTTGAATGCCTGCCTCTCTTTCTGTGGAACGTTATTCCTGTATCAGCAGACATAATACTTCCCCCAAATGTTTGTAGTCAAATATGTGTGGGAAATGCTGCACACAGCACCCCTCTCAGGAGCGAGTGTCATAATTCATGACTCAGAGAAGCCTGCAGTTCAGGAAACCTCTTTAACAGTAAAAACAGAAGACAAAGCAACCCTGTCCTTTTCTCCACTATGGGACTGTGCCCCCTGTTTCTTCTGAATATCTCCCCAAGAAAAACCAGTTTCAAGAAAACTAGTTTGAGAACTGATGCACATTCTTATCGCACCTTCTGCAGAAGGATAGTAAGTCCTTCCTGCTTGATGTTTAGAAGAGGGCTGTTGCTAAGGGCTTACCTACATGGTGTCTGGGAAGAACAGAGGACCCTTGTGAAATGGGAGGGGGCTGGGGGAGGGGGGCTAGATCTCTTTGGACTGAATGTGTTGTTATAAAGGATCTATAGAAACCAGAACTGGTTTGAACGTTTTCTAGGGCATTCAGGGCATGACCACTTTGTGCAGGGTTCCTTGTGCGTGGGTGGGTGATGTAGCTGTGCCGTGGGGTAGTACCCTGCCAGGTTTGGTGGGTGCTTGGCTCTGTAGTAAGGAGACTCTCTTTGACCTCCTCAGTGGTTTCCTTTCTTTTTGGGGGATGCATTAGAAGCTAAGTGACTTGGTTGCCTTCTTTAAAAAGTTTCTTTCTAAATGGAGGGTTGTTAAACATTGCCTGTTCTTTAGGATACCTAAACTGAAGAATCAGAAGTCAGGTACTGTGATTAGATTCCCAGATGGGACTGGATTTTTTTCCTTTCCTTTGTCTTCCTTTCTGGTCTTTTTCATTCTTGGTGCAGAGTACTACAATAACACCCTTTGTTAGTGATGAAAACCATTATCTTCCCCCAGGGGCAGAGAGTATGTTTAGTTGTATCTTGGTGTTTAGGTGGGAACCTGTGGGGCATCATAAGGGGCTTCTTCAGTAGATTATTAGTTGTTGAATAGTAGATCTTTTATGCTCATTTGTTTCTTTAAGGTATAAAGCACAGATTTTTCTTTTGGCTTTGTACTCTTCTGAATTGGTTTTAATATTCAGATTAAGTATAAATTATAGGTACCTCTCAAAATGTCATTAAGAATGAGCCCAGTAGTGAGTGATGCCACGAGGATAAAAGTAGACAGTTATGTACCTGTACTACTTATCCTAGGGTAGAGGTGGGGAGCCTTTTCTCTGCCACAGGTTGTTTGGATATTTCGAGGGCCATACAAAATTATCAACTTAAAAAGTAGGCTGCTATATTGGTCAGACATTTAATTAATTCACCCCTAATGCCTTAGCAGGGCCAGACTGAATGATAAGGCCTGCAGGCTGGATGTTCCCCACCCCTGTCCTAGGGGAACAGGTCAATAATCAGATTATGTGGTCTGAGAAGAATGAGATTTTATTGACAAATGGGTATTATTTAGAATGTATCACTAGCTAAGGTTTAACCTCACGCATGTCAAAACCAGCTTTTTTGCTCCAGCTCCTTCTTTCTGTTATTTTTATTTCATTTATAGGAGCTCAGCGTGATGGACATTTAGTTACATTGCCCAGGTTACTATTTGCTTCAGGGCCTTTGCACTTGCTCTTGTCACAGGCTAGTGAGCCCGAACACTCCAGCCCCCACATAGGCAGACACACTTACCTAGTCCTCACCCCTTCTCAGCTCTTTCCTTCCAGGGTCACAGCCTTTCCTCTCCTGGGTTACCCAGATTTCATTCAGAGAGACTGTCATAGCATTATGTCTCTTTCCTTCCAGCACAATACTCTTCTACTTTTTGTCTGTTACTGTTTTAAGGTTAATATCTCCTCCATAAAAGCAGCAGCTCTGTTTTTGCTTTTCATTGTATTCCTGGCATCTATGACAATAGAGTACACAGAGTGTGCATTCCATAATATTTGTCAAATAAAGAAATTCCTGAAAACCTTTCAAAGATCTATTGACTGGTTAATGATGTCAAAATTAGAATAATGCATCTGAAAGTCTATTTTGAATCATTTATTTCCTAATGATTGATTTAACTGACTTGTTCTAAAATAAAAAACGAAACAGAAACTTTGTGGCACTCTGTTATATATTGCCCCTGGGTCTAATCTGACTTCTTTGTTGTCTGTCGACTGTTGCTCTACTTTTGAGATGACTGTCACGGTAACAAATTGATTTATTACACAGCTGTGTGCAGTCAGATTCCCCTTTTGGGCTTCTCTAGCATAACATACTGATTTCTAAAGCTTGCTGTGGGCAGCATATTAATTTCTTTCTACTGCCCCTCCCCCAGCTTTATTGAGATATAACTGACATATAACATTAATATATACAATGTAGTGATTTTTATATGTATATATTGCAAAATAATCACCACAAGCATTCATAAGCTAACATAGTTGCAATTTGTTTTGTGATGAGAATTTTACAAATCTACTCATAACTTTCAAATATACAATATACAGTGCAATATTGTTAATTATAGTCAGTCTGCTGTACAGTATGTCCCCAGAAGTTATTCATATTATAACTAGCAGTTTGTATGCTCTGGCCACCTTCACCAGTCCCTCCCTTCTTCCCCCTTTCTCCCCCCAAAATCACTAATCTGTTCTGTTTGGGGTTTTTGTTTTTTTTAGATTCCACTTGTAAATGAGATCATACAATGTGTGTCTTTCCCATCTGACTTTTTCAGTCAGGGTTCATTCATGTGGTTGCAAATGACAGGATTTTCTTCTATTTGTTTTTATGGCTGAATATTCCATTGTATACACACTACATTTTCTTTATGAGTTCTTCCCTTGATGGACACTGAGGTTGCTTCCAGGTCCTGGCTATTGTAAATAATGCTAAAATGATCCCAGGGTGCAGACAGCTCTTGGAGATAGTGACTTTATTTCCTTCAGCTCTAGACTCAGTGGAGCTTGCGGGATCATATGGTAGTTACATTTTTGCTTTTTTGAGGAACCACCATACTACTTTCCATAGTGGCGGTGCCAATTTGCATGCCCACAAACAGTGTATCCACTATTTTCAGTTAGATACTGTGGCTCCTTTATTCCTGATCAGGTAAACAGTAAAAATTCAAATTATTGGGAGGTACATTTTCTTTTTGGCATGTCAATTTTGTTTTCTCTTTTGATTATCCATTTCTTGTATTCTTTTATATTAACTGATGATTTTTGTTTGACACTAGACATTTGATTCCTAGAATAACAGAAATCTCCATCACATACGAGAGGGGGAAAATCAAGATCCAGGATTTTCAAGTTTGATATGTCTGTGTTCCTTCTACATTTTGACCAAAGTGTGAAATTTTACTTGAAGATAAATTTTATATATAAAAGACAATGAGCCTTTTGTTGTTGTTACAAGGATTTTTTCCCATCTCTTTTCAGAGAGATTGGAAGT